CGTATAAGAGCGGAATTGGTGTACAGGTCGATTTCGCTGCTTACCACACGCATGGTTAATGGATGAAATTCCGGATCGTACGCCGCCCAGGCAGGCAAAAACACTAATTTGATTAGGTGGTCCTGAATCTCATTGTATAGGCCAAGTCGCGTATAAATATGCCACTAACATTTTTAATTGAAGTGGAGTGTGTGGCGCATCCCAGAAGGGATCGAATAACGCCTAGTGATGCACAGTTCGTCGTGCAGGGTCCCCTTGTGTGACTTTTCTGAACATTTCCAATCAGAGCAACATTCTTCTTTTCGTGATGTGAAAAGATGATGGTCGATAAGTAAATAATTGGAATAGATTTCGTGGGCATTTGACAAATTCACAACGACGCGCGTGTCAGCTCTTGGTCGCGTGGGACAGGCGCTATTCCGCTAGCGCTCACCTCAAATCCGTGGATTTAGTATAGAAAGTGCACAAACATGAATAGCGCAGTAATTTCGGCATTATCAACATATTCAAGTTCCCGGAGGTGTTACAGTAGAATACCGATTGAAAGAGCGTACAGTGGTATTGAAAAGGAGAAATTTTTCAAGTTCACTGCAGTGGGCATCGAAAGCAATTTTACCTGGATCATATTAGTATGTAGATTGAAGTATTTACGTAGATTGTATTCCCATTAGAAGCACGTAACTTATCACCCAAAGAGCTTCGCATTTACCTCTATGTTTTTTTAACCGTATGTTTTATGACAATTGAATGAAGATGTAGAAGTCATTGAACCCTAAACTCAGTACGGCTCGGGAATTTTCTTAAAGGCAAAAGTCGGGCTCAATAAGGGGGTATTATGGCGATTGAAACTGAGTATAGAGATGCGAAGTGGAACGACAGTGGAGAAAAAACTGAGAAAAACCGTCGACAAGGCCGTTAACAAAACCCTCTTTCCCACTAGCAGTGAAGGAGGCTGGCTTGGGGAAGAGGCACGTACAAACAAGTTTTCTGGAGATGTCAGTCGTTCTATCGGTTGATACGGCAATCAACCTAGCTGATTTCACACGTTATGCCAGCCACGCACCACTTCCGGAGGTGGGCGGTCCCGGATTGACGAGGCGGTCCCGGATTGAAACCGACGGCCCCGGGGGCTTAACGACGTTTTTCAAGGTGGAAAGTTGCTGCAATGTGTGCAGCTACCCATACAACCTCCAGGCACGGGAATTACTTCTCTAGCGTGTCTGAGCCCGACCTTTGCCTTTAAGTGAAGCAAATTTAAGGTTTCAGTGGAGCATGTCGTTTCGAAGATACCTACTAGAACCTATTTATTACATTGCCATCGAAATATGCAAAGAGTTAAAGGACAGGAGGACTTGTTTAGGCTAGTAGAGCTGGCAGCATATGGTGCTGCCATCTTCCCACGAGGCCTTGTCCCTCACGTATGAGCCTTTGCAAAAATGACCTTAGAGGGCTTTGACATATGTATTTGCGTCGGTGGCAGCCCATACGGCCTCTCTACAGTCATTTTTGCAAATGAACTTACGAACTGCGCCAATACCTTTTTGATTGGAGTTATATATGTCCACGTGGAAAGACCACGAACGTTCAACATTTAGCTTCATCTGCGAAAAAGTCGCCTAAACAAAGATTAGCTTTAATTGCGCATGATAGTGACGATTTCACGCAATGATAACAACAAAAATTTGCACCTAGAGAAAAGTTAGGTGGCGATTATTAATCAAATGTAAAGGGATACCTTTATGAATGTTTTTAAGCGGACAGATGCGCTAAATGTTTTCGGTACGGAGTGTCGCAGAGTGAGCGACTACTTATAGACTATATTGCTTACCTCGCAAGCGCGGTGTCTTGTCGGATGTTCCGAGGAGCGCCCACATTTGCGATTGTCCTCTAGGGTTTTATACTAAAGACCGAAAGGAAGCGCTAAAATGTCCTCTGCCTGGGTGGTGGCTTTAAAAGCAACATGTTCATTTAGGCAAGTTGTAGAGAAATGTAAGCGTATTGATTGACGCCTGGAATTCTATTGGTGGCTCCACTATTTGACTTTACTAACACGGCTATTTGTTTGTCTACTATGACTTCAAGAAGAAACACTCCCTTCGAGCTACAAATATGAACTACCGAATTTTTTTCCAGAGTTTTACCCCGGACTAGGCATTTCTGTTGTCATGATGGCGGTCGTCACCTATACAGCTTACGCACTGGGACTCAGCTGGAATATTCTACTGAACACATGGCCAGAATATCGAGAACATTGCCGGAAGCCATATCCGGAAATCGGTTATCGGGCTATGGGCAAAGTCGTCAAGTGAGTGACCTATTTATACCCGGTACTTTTCAAGGTACCACTCGAAGCTGGAAGATCAACGTTCGACTTCCTAACCTCCAACGCGCAGTTCGCCGGTCTTATGCGCTCTCGCCTCACGCGAAGAAGCCAATGCAGCCCTGGCGGCCCAAAATTATTACGATATTTTAGGGTGGTAAGAATAAAAACTTTGATGGGTACCGCCTTAAAGGACGAATTCACGATCAGAGGGAAAATCGAATTAGGAAGAATTCACCTGGTTGAGGGACCCGCGGAGCTCCTAAGTGTGCGAACTGAAGCACAATTTGCACAGGAGGAGTTGACCTCGTTGACCTATTAAGGTTTAATCCCGCCGCGGCTGGTCAGTGCACGCCCACCGATCATCTGATCACTCGCCGCAGGTCTATACGTGGTGAGTGATTAGATAGGTGAGAGAGCGTAGCGTTGAAGAGGGCACAGCGATGATAGTCGCATCAATGCTCAAATCAACGGGCAAGGAAGTGGTCCCATTTCTCAGGTTCTGGGCCGTTTCGCATGGTTTTTCCTTCTTTAGTGTACCACTCACCATCGCTAACTTAATTTGAAATGGGTTGCCTTTCCAGCGTGAATTCGTCCTTTAAGGTCTGCAATCTTTTAACGAGTTCGTTTACTGCGATTAAGTCTGAGGCCAGATGGCGATTTCGTGTAAACTGACAGATGATTTTATGACAAGTATGTTGATAGAATTTTTCGCTCGCTCACTCGAAAATTGAATGCACACGCAATCAAGAGAAGAAATAATTGTCCTCCCAATCAGAACATTCGTGATGGTCGCAGCTGATGAGATGCATTAAGGCCACGGCAGGGATAGGACGAGGTTGTTCCCTTAGAGAAAAAGGAAGGGGTGCCCAATCAGGAATCCGCGGACATTTTTGCGAGGGCGCGAGAAGTGCGCAGCAGATGGCGTACGACGTTCCCTCTCGTGTTTTCCTCTCCTCGCAGCGCTATGTCTCTCCGTCCTACCACGGCCTGACCTCATTGAGGAATTTCAGTGTTTTCTATGGCTTTTTTGCTTTTTCTTCCCACTAACGTTCCTCATCGCACTTCTTGTCAAATTTTCGAACAAAATAACACACCAATTCGATCCCGACCCGTGTCTTCAAACCCCGAAGCTAAATGATCTGCTGCTTGGCTTTGAATTGAAATTGTGTCGTTGACCCAAACCTACCTTGAGCCCACATTTTGTGATATTTCACAATTCCTTATACCTATACGCTTGACTCCCTCGCTCCACTCCGACACTCCGAAAGGCGGAATGATGTGTATTGAAAATCACTCATTCCTTCCGCCTTGTCTTTGACCCCTCTGGAGCGGAACGATGGAGAAGGGACTGAATGAAGCGTGTACGTTCAAAGGCCAAATGTAACGCATTATTGGCGCTTTTATTGTGATAACTGCTTTCATCAAACCCCTTCATTTCCCGATTTTACGGCGAAGTATCCCACTTGATTAGGCAATTCCTATTTTTTCTTGCAACGTGTATACTGCTCTTCTAGCAGACCGAGCGATTATTTCGAATGATTCTCAAATGCGGTTTTCATTGGCAACAGATAAAAGCGCTATATTTCAGGCTGCTTGTCTCGATATGCATAGACATCACTCAATTTGGTATTGCGGTAGTTTACTTGTTACTAGCCTCGAAAAATATTCACGATATGATCAAGGTAAGAAATCCTCCACGAAATCTGTTCGTTTCTTGAAAACATCGTTGATTAGCTACTATATTACTGAATTTGCAGACATTTTCGGATGCCGAGTTCAGTTACTGTTTTGTAGTGATTATCCTTGCTGTATGCCTTCTGCCAATTACATTCCTCAAGTCGCCACAGGATTTTTGGTTAGTTCATTAGGAGGAGTTTGTGACAAAAGATTTACCAGATTGAATGAACTGGTGCCGTCGGGTGCCGTCGGGTAGTTCTGGAGCGGCAGTGCTTCAATTGTTCCAGCACAAATTACAACAAACTGACTGAAACGTTCAATTTCAGGTGGGCAGTTTGTGATTGCAATGATCACCACCTCATGCGCAGTCGTCTTGATTATTGTCGGCGCTTCGCTTGACTATGGGTTATGCTCAGGCTATACGTAAGTACATCGTACGCTCGCTTTCAATCAATGTAAACAAGAGAGGTTCTTTTTCAGGACATAGAGCGCTTCTCCAAAGGTTCGCATGTCTGTTGGCGCTTCTGCGAGAAACATAAAACCGATGTCCCATATTCCTGAATCGCTGTCAAGGCAATGTCAAAAACATGCTGTGAGAAAATGTGCCTGTCTAATCTCCGTGGTGACAAATTTACGAAATTTGAGTTTTGCATCCAAATTGCTGCTAAGTTACGAGAGTGACACCTATTTTCGTCGCTGGCGTCATTTGGCTACTATCTGGAGGCGCCAATCCAAATTGCAAAAATTAGTCGTTAGAGAGATCGATACTTTGAACCATTTCCCTTGACCAACTATTCTGGCATTCTAGAAGCGCTTAGAAAATGGGACCACAACTCTGTGCCCCACGCATCCTATACAAGATTTAGGAGAACCAACTTTTTGGAAGAGCGCTACTCGTCACGTCCCTAAAGCTCTTCTCTGTAAGCGGCATCGAATTTGGTTTCACCACAACAGACGTGGCTTTTGAGTTTCGCTTAAGAACGTCTTGTCTACAGAGGCCATGCCATCGTATCAACCACAACAAATCCGAAGCCCACTTCCTTTCCTAGTATTGGGCTTTTTGTTGTTCGCCTATGGTGGACATTCAGCCTCCCCCATTATTCAACATGACATGAAAAATCCCGCCGAGTTCACAAAATCCGTCATATTGGCTTTCACAAGTGAGGATCATCTTGAATTTTTTGATTTATTAACTGCGATTTACTAACATGGAAAATTGGGGTAACTCGCCCAGAAATATTTATATTATATATATTACTAAATCAGTAAAGGGGTCATACTACTATTCGTTCTGGATCGAGTTTTGCTGACAAGCCCTGGAACGTTTCCCGACGCTCAACAGCATTGATGCTACCGAGTCCGCCGCTGCCTCTGCGTGAATAGCTGGTGGGGAAGCCGCTGTAACCATCCTGCTACCCAGTAAATGTATGTTCCTTCATAGCCAACTGAACCATCGTTTCTCATGATGACGCAACACGCAAGGCACGTAATGAACGGTTGAGATATTCCTCCCAAAAAATGCCGAAACTTGTCAGAAAAGAAAAGCTCGAAGCAACCTCAACTGCATTTTTTCGGCCGCGAACGCCCCCGCCCTTTTTAAAACAGCCAGCCTTTTTGAGACCGCGACCTCGATTTTCGGTTACCCGTCGGCAGCAAGTCACTGGCACTGATGATGACAAGACTGATGATAAAAATCGCAAAATAATATAAATCCAAAAAAGACCTGAGAGTGGCACGAACTTCTGTAACCCCTGCTTCATTTCTGCGTTCTGAACACATGCAAAGAAGACTTGCTAGCCATGCTGAATTTTTAAGACTTGATTCTCGTCCCTTGAAGCATTTTGGTTGACAAACGCACATTTTCAAAGGCACAGGTAGCGATTAGATTCTATGAGAAATTTTTCTCTGAGTGAGTAGCAGGATCACTAATCACAGGGTGGTGGTGCTGTCGCGACTTGAAAGTGCGCGGAAGGGAGCTGATTTCTTCGCTTGACCGCTGCGACCGCTGCCATCTTATCAATGATGGCACACGTGGCGTCTGCGTCTCTCACGTACGACGTGCTCTCTCGCGCTTTCCCTCTCCTCGCAGGGCTGATTCTCTTTGCCGTACCACTATCGACCACACTAGAAGAACTTTAGTGTTTTGATGGTGTTTTTGTAGTTTTTTTGCTTTCAACGTTTTTCTTGTTGCACTTTCGAGAAAAATTACACATCGATCCGAGGCGACCCCTGCCTTCAAATGACAGCGCACTTGCAAGCCCCATGAAGCTAAATCTAGTCAATCACTTACCACCTTGTTCCTGCTACTGTAAGCTTTTATCGTTATAGTTATGGGTATTATGTATGGTCCCGTGTGCATAATGGGCTACCTGACGTACCACGATTCAATCAGGGACTCCATTATTCCTTCCATTCAGGTAGGCAATCCCTGAGTTATTCCTAAAAATAGTCGAATCAATGTATAAATTGTAGACTGTATGGATCCAACAAGCAATCAACATTCTTATCACTGTACATTGTATCCTAACGCTCACTATTGTATTTAATCCACTGAACCAGGAACTTGAAGATCTCTTCCACTGCCCACATCGTGAGTTTCCTCAGAAAGTATTGATTCTTCTTCAGTCATTGATTCTGTTTGCAGATTTTCGGTTGGCAACGAGCTTTGATCAGAACGGTTACAATGTTAGCAGTCGCGTTCGTTGCCGAGAGCATACCTAACTTTGGTCCGCTGCTTGATCTCTTTGGTAGGTGCTTTAAGTGACCATCAGTTCTTGCCTCTAGCACAAGCCTCGAGCACATCGAAGAGCGCAGTTAAGGAACAAAGAGTTAACGGATGATTGACGAGTTTTAGGAGGTTCGACCCTAACTTTAACGTCAGTTATTCTACCATGCCTCTTCTATCTCTACTTGAATGCACGACTAGAGAAGGAAAAGGATATTGGCGAAAAAGACGACAGACCGGTATCATTCAGCGAGTGAGTACATTTCTTCTTTGTTCTCCTCCTCCTCTCCTGTGCTGAAAGAGTTCTTATCCAGTGTGACTTATCTTTTTGTAAAAAATATTAAAATATATTGTTGGAGTAAAACATAGAACTTAAGAAATTTTCAGGGCTGCGTGGGGGGGGGGAAGGAGTAGAAGGATTAGTTCGACTACCGTTCCACCCGTGCCCTTAGACCGGAAGTCAAAACTGAAAGAAAATACCCTGCCTCTACATGCCCCAGGAATCACATTGTCGTGGGCTCTTGCACACGACGAATGTGAATGTATTGGTGCGAAGTGGGCCGGCAGTAAAGAAAAAAGGAAAAGAATCCGTCGAAAACGCTTAGGTTGAGGGCTCACTCACCTTCCTAATCGGCTGTGCTAAGGGAATGAGAGACTAAGCGCGGAGAGGAGAGTATGGGCGAGAGAGCGCTACAGATGAGAGAGCGCCAGACAACAGCCTGATAAGAGAAAAAAGTCTGCAGCTTCAGCAGCTTACTTTGCAAGGCCCAAGCGCTGTTGTGTTGGTTTCCGTGCACGGAAACGCCATATTGTGATTGTCCTTTAGGGGTCCGTATTAACCGAAAGGGAAGCGAGTCAAACATGGACTTCGTCGTGCCCTTAGCTGTGCCTTTAAAAGCGAGAGGTCGAGCTCAGCCTCAAGAAGAATGTTTGCCTCTGTAATTGGTTTCAACTGTGTATTTATTTCCTAACTCTGTGAATCAAAGCTATCTGCTCTGCGCAATCTTAGAACCGTTCAACACAAGAAAAGTTATCTGCATTTTCCTAGTACATCTTCACGGTTCATATTTTCCTTTTTTCTCATTTGCTGGTCCGATCGCATTGTTCTGCTTTCGTTTTAAAGATCATCGGACGTCAAAGAGGTACCACGATTAGAATGGATTTCGAAGAAAGAGTAATTCGCCTAGTTGAGAGCGGCGGGCCTCCTGTAGGTGCAGACTTACGCGCAATTTTCACCGAATATTTGACCTCGGCGATCCGCAGGGCTCACTCTTGGCGCGGTTGGCGGGGTACGCCCACCGACCATCTGATCACTCGCCGCAGGTCTATACGTGGCGAGTGATTAGATAGCAGAGAGAGCGTAGTGTTGAAGAGGGCACAGCGATGAGAGTCGCATCAATGCTCAAATCAACGGGCAAGGAAGGGGTCCCATTTCTCGGGTTCTGGGCCGTTTCTCATCTTTCTTCTTTCGTGTACCATCACCATCCCTGAGTTAATTTGAAATGGGTTGCCTTTCCAGCGTTGAATTTCTGCTTTTAAAGGAATCTTCCACGGAAAAAGCTCCGCCTCCATTACCACAGAAAAACGATACCTTAGGCCCCTAGCCTCATGAGCATAGCAAAAAGAACGGAACATAAGCGTTAGTTTCGATAATACTAATCCTACACACAAGACAAAATGATCACTCTTTCCGTGGAAGATTCCTTCAAGGTATCGTTTTCTGTGGTAATGAAGGCGGAGCTTTTCCGTGTAAGATTCCTTTAATCAAATCCATCTCCTTGCCTTTACTAAATCTTCAATATGACCATACATATTCCAATGAAAGGCAAAGGAACAGTAAAAGGGTATATTTCACAAGAATGCAACTTGACAGTTGAACCTCTTGCGAGCTTCTGCTTTCAAAGCTTCCACGATTGAGCATGATTATAAAAAGCATGCCTTATCTCTGGATCGATCTCAGCTCATCACCGTTTTCCACTGTTTACACGAAATATTCCTGCAATAAAACCGAGCTATATTTCAGAGTATTCAAGTACAACCCTCGACCTACGCTCATCATCTGCGTTAGCATAATAGGTAAGATATTAGTCCATAATTCATATCAAAGGATCATATCAACGTGTGAGCTATATAACTAAACAAATATTGTAAAAGTATACGTCCTACGAAATGATGAGTACGAAATGATGACTGATGAATACATGGGAGATTACCGCTGATGTGACAAATTATGCCATTTATTTGTTCAATTTGATGGTGAGGATTTCATGAAAAAACCACATTACAGTATTCGGTCTTATCGGCGGAGCAGCTGCTACGTTTTCCGCTATTGTCGAATTAACCTCAACCAACTTCCTGTTGCCCGTGTTACGTCAGTCCATTCGTTAACAAGGTATTGTTTGACTCTTTTTTGGTTTCTAGGATTCAGGGTTCGTCAAACGACTAAACAATTCAATAATAACAACAATAAAATTCTGCTGTCTTTGAATGGGCTTCCGTAAACAACATCGATCCAGCGGACCAGCTGCTTAGCAGAATTCGCCATCGAGAGCTTACTTGACCCTAGCAAGGCTTCAAAAATGAAAGATGTTGGGTCCTTCACTGAAGAGGACAGCGGAAGGCATTGAACGATCTTGCTACAGAGAAAAACTGGGCGCCAAGGAAAAGGCGCAGAGGTTCGGTTCGCGAGAAAGCAGAAGCA